AGTGTATTGTAGAGTACTATAATTAGCATGGTATTATGTACCTGAAAACTGCTTAGAGTAAATTTTAAGCATTTTCACCATAAAAAAATAAGAGTTAACCACATAAGGTTATGAACATGTTAATTATCTTGATCTTAGTAGTTGTTTTATCATGTGTATATATGTTAAAACATCACATTGTACACATTACATACATACAATTATATTTGTCAGTCATTCCTCAGTAAAGTTGGGAGGGAGGAGGATGGCATGGTCAGTGGTATCAAATACTGAAAAGATGTCAAATGAGAAAGGGTCCGAAGTATCCTTTGGACTTAACAATTAAAGATTTATTAACGTGAAAGGGTTGCATACCAGTTTTAGAAGGTCCACTTATTAGGGCTAAAACTGATTTTTAGAGTTGTCATGGGACTCAGACTCCAGGAGATTCACAGAGATGGAGTGAAGAAGAACTGGACTAGGAGTTCAAATATGTCAACCTGGTGTCTGATCTTGGCTTTACTATTAACTAGCTGTATATCCTTGGGTAGATCAGTTAGCATTGAAGAGCCTCAGTTTCTGCAAAGTAGAAATAATACCTTGTATATACTTCACAGATTAATGAGGCATGTAAAACATTGAATGTAAAAGTACTTTTTAAACTGTAAGATAGATTATACTTAATATTGACATTTTATTGACTCTGTTCTCAGAATTATTAATAAGGCATGTAATATTTAATTAAGGCTAAGAATTTTAGGGGTCTTTGGAAAGAAATCACCCATGCATCCAGGATCTATGAAATCAACACCTTGGTGGATTTTAATAATCAAGAATAAATAGCTTTTGCATAGAAGAGCTATGATATTACATTCGTCCCATTTGACACTTTCATTGGGATGTTTTATTTATCTTTGATTTCTAATGTGTGTATCTCTGTTTTTGTCGTTAAAAGCCAGAAAACACTTTCTACGTCTTCAATTCAAAATGAAATTCCAAAGAAAAAATCCAAGTTTGAGTCAGTCACAACCAATGGAGACAGGTGAGTCGTTTGAAGTACATATGCAGTTCCTGAAACAGTAATACATTTTAGGATGTGCTTTGGAACTAGTCTCTGGTTGTCAGTGAACCTCTTAGGGGCACTACGCTAGCCACTTGATATCTTATAAACAAGCAATACTGTTATTTTTTTATAATTCTAATCTTGTCTTTACAAGATAAGAACATGTTATTAGATTTAATAACAATCAAATTCTGCAGTCCACAAATAACTCCACACTAATTCTAAGAAGTCAATAGTTGGATGCTTTTCATTGTTATCTGTGCCTGTACATAGCCTCCTCCAAGCAAGGCAAGGGTCAGTCTTGAGGGGCAGAGCAGAGGCAAATTGGAGTTAAGGCAGTATTGCTCAGTCCGAAGGCTGATCCATGCTTCCTTAGCCTACAGAAAGACAGCCCAATGCAGATGCTGGATTAGGAGAGAGTGAGATTCATTTAAATATTTTTATTTTATTTTAAGCCTGTCTAAATGCATATTTTTATTTTTTTTTCATCTCTCCTTCTCAGCAATGCTTCTTATGAGCTGCTTTGTCCTAATACCCGGAGTGTCTCGTCTGTGTTGGTACAGTGGATTGCTTCCCAGCAGAGTCTTGGGGCCAACCACTTTTTTGTTCCTCCAGGGCCCAGCATCCTGAAGTGAGACCACCTAACACATTCTTCCCTAGAATCATTGGAATCATTTCCATTCTGAAAATGCCCAATCTCAATTTTCCCTCCTAGTCAGTGGTGGGTTCGGGAGCAGACCAGCATATAAGTTACCAGGGCTGAATTTTATTTATTTAGGGAGGTATAGAATCTGTAAAGTTTACTCTTTCCTGTTACCTTCTTCATTAACTTGATTTCACACTCTGCAAAGGTGTCTTTTTGACAATTAGTATCACTGATTTTAAACTTTTTAAATTGAACCTTCTAGAAATGCTTAACTTAGATATTCAGATTACAGGGAGCAAGGAACCATAAAGCCCATCTTTCTGGTCAGCTTTCCTATTCTCTGAGCAACTAGTCTGGCCAGTCTTAAAAAAGCGGATGTGGCACAGATTGTCCCATCATCTCTGCCAGGTGCATGATTCTACAAAACTACCTCAAGGAGTGAACCTTTTGGAATGCCCTGTTTTATAAAGGCCTAAGCAAAGATCCACACAGCCTTTAGATTCATTATTTCTGTTTTGTGTTCACTTATGACCCAGGCTACGTTTGAATGACTTGGAAAAAGCTCATTCATATTCTTTAGTTTAACCAACGCGTCCTTAAAGCTTACCTTCTTTTAGCTTATTTTGTTCTTGAGATACTACAGCTATTCTTGCTGTCCATTACTATGTACGGACAGCAAAAAACTTAAGTTTTCTGTTCAGAGTGTTTTATTGCATCTGGTCACCAGCAGTGATTGTTTTCCTCAAGTAGGATGCTGGTCTTTAAAACTTAGGTACATAGCCTTTCATAATGTCCTCCGAAAAAGATCTTTTTCTTGAAATGCACATGCTAATTTAAAAAAATAATTTACCCTAATAACTTGAAAATGTGGAAGATTTTGCTGCTGCTACAAAAATTATTTTCATACGTATACAAGTTCCACTTGAATGTTCCTGCATTAGCATCTTAACAGCCTGTTCCATGAGTTTGCATTTCTCTCTTTCAAACATTCATAGCACAAGGTAAATTACATTTTCTTTCTTTTTGTTTTTTTTCTTGCCTTTCTTTCACTTTGAAACATTCTGACAGCCTTTGTTTTTTTGACAGTCCTTTTTTAATGTCATGCAAACCAAACCTTTTTTTTCTAAATATCTATTTTCAATTCAGTTCTATACCCAATGTTACCAGGCTCGTTTCTGAACAATCTATTGTTGTAACTGCCTCCCAGTTTTTAATTAATTACAATCCACTTTCCTGGCTCCACTTTTAAAATATTCACCTACCTTTAAATTTGTGTTCTTATACCTTAGTTTTTATCCCCTCGTGTCTTCTGCAGGTTGATCTCTAACAGTTTCCATTAACCTTTCTATACTACATTCTTTTCTCATATATTTTTTAAACATTGAAGCATATTTGAGTATTTTTTCTCCTTTTTCTTTATTCATTAGTCTTCCATGTTGTACAGAGAGAATGCATTACTTTAGTTTTTTTTTTTTAAATAAAACCATTTTAAAACCATTTACCTAATGGTTTTATACTTATAAAACACTTTATTTTGTTTATTTGTTGTTTATTTATTTTAGTATCCTGTAGAATTCAGAGCCTCCCTCATATTTTCTAATTTGTTGAAATTGTAACAAAAAGTTTTCAATTTGAGGAAAATCCGTGTTCATTTCTTACTTTCCTTCCCTGAGAAAATACATCACCTACTTTTTGATCATGTTTGTTTATTGTTCTATTGGCAATTAAAAGCACTCTCAACAGTGGGTGACACCTAGCTACACCTCGTGGTTTATTATTTCTAAAGGATATTCTTTTCTTTGTAGTTTTATTTCTCTATTTTTTTCCTCTCCATTTTCCATGCAGCTTTTCCCCAGACCTGGCTCTAGACTCACCAGGCACTGACCACTTTGTCATCATTGCCCAACTTAAGGAAGAAGTGGCCACTCTGAAGAAGATGCTGCATCAAAAGGATCAAATGATTTTAGAGAAAGAGAAAAAGGTATGGTGTAGTTAATGCCTCTCAGGCCAGAATGATGCGAGGGTAAGACATGTGGGATAGGGCGTGATGCTAATAACTCTATTTAACTGATATTTGTTGGGTACTTACCATTGATGCTTTGAGAGAGATCCAGTGGCAAGGTTGGGAGATCCTGGGGAGAGGCTTGCTGTCTGCCAAGATGACTCATGGCACTATATTACTGTAATGAATCTATACTTCAGTCTAGTGGGTTTAGAAAGTTGATTTTTCTCAGCGTTTGGAGGGAGCTTCCACTTCTTAGGGAGAACTCATGTTAACCAAGCTTACAGAGATAATGTATAAAACTACCATGCTCCCTCATAATTCACAGTGGGGCACATAACTGAGTACTATTCTTCTCAGCATGAGCTTCCTTGGAAGGTTGTAATCAGAAAGTGCTGAATGAGCAATGAGTTGGGACAAGAGGAGGTAGTTGTGTAATTGGAATTTTTAATGCTCTCAGGCTAAGAGAACCTGATGCCTCCATCTCTATTATTGGGATGGCCATGTCTGTGGGACAGTAATACTGAAAATATGTGGGCCAGGTCTCCCTCTTCCCTGGACAATGTTCAGGTAGGCCTTCCTTCATGGCTCTTGTGTCACTTCGCTTCCATTGCTGACAACTTCCTTCCTGAGTGACCCACCCTTTAAACGTGTTACTATCTTCAGTAAAGTCTTATTCTGGTCTAAGAGTCATCTTCCCTCTTTAAGGGAACTTTTTATATCCTTGTTCTGACTCATGTCTAGTATTTTTATTTTCAAATTCTTAGTATCTCATGTTTGCCTTAATATATTAATAATTATAATAATAGCTGATTTCTATTGGATGTGTACTGCGTGCCTGACTCTATTATTCTAAGTGCTTTATATATTAACTTATTTATCTTCATAACAACCCTTCTAGGTAGGAATTATTATTATCATCATTTCACAAATGCAGAGTGCCTCCAATATTTTTCCTCTTAGAGTTCCAATCTCTTCAACTAGCTGTTTTTTTCTGAGGCAGTATGTTGTCTCGTGCCAAGTTTGGAATGCTGTGATTCATTCCAAAGGCTAACAGACATATATTACATTAAAACCTTCGCACACGTTCTTTCAGTCTAAACAGATGAGGAAAGGGACCCAAAGAAATTATATGATGTGTATAATTCACACAACTAAGAAATGCAGAACAAAGGAATGAACTCAAGTTCTTCTGACTATACCATTCTTTCTACTGTACTATGCTTTCTTCTTTCAGTGAGGTGGAGATTCATGGGAGGAGACCAATATTCTTTTTTTTTTTCTTTCTTTCTTTTTTTTTTTTTTTTTTACGCCTACAGCACCCAGTCTTCCTAGGTGGTCTCCCATCCAAGTACTAACCGGGCCCAACCCTGCTTAGCTTCCAAGATCAGATGAGATCGGGCGTGTTCAGGGAGGCATGACCATAGATAAGACCAGTATTCTTTCCACTTTATTACATGACTGTCAGGTGAAAGCAGACCCATGTATATTTTCTTCATGCACTAGAGCAGAATGGCAATAAAAAGATATTTGCAAAATAGAGACAAAACGAACACTTATTTCTACTGCTTTGCAAAGTTAGGGTCTTAAAAGGACAAAAAACAAATAGATTGTTCCCTATAACTTTGAAGATCATGGTCATATTCGTTGGCTTGGAACGCAGGCTCTTTTGTGCCCTGCTTGCCTATCTCTAGCCTCATCTCCTGCCAGTTTCCATGCCCATCAGTCATCTGAACAAGCTCTCAGTTGTCTTGTACTCTCTGCCTATGCCCATGCTGTTCCCTTTGCTTGGTTGCCTTTCTCCTTCCTTCATCTTCCAATTGCTGCTTGTGCCTCAAAACTCAGCTCACATCTCATTTCTGATTTATTTCTTTTCTGTGCTCCTTGAATAGCATAGTCAATAGAAGAAGGCCTGGGGTTTGAATTCTAGCTCTGCCACTTGCTAACATGTATGATCTTGGCCATGTTACTTAACCGTTTTAAGCCTTGGTTTTCCCATCTATAAAATGGGAAAAATGATATTATCCCACACAGGGTTATCATAGTAATTGAATGAAGTAATATAATCATTTTGCCTGGAACAGGGTAAAAAAATTCAGTAAATGACAGCAGCAGTTATTCTCATGGTTTCTCTCAAACCATCAGTCAAATTGCATCATAATCACTGATTTATTTGGAAGTAGGTATTTGGAGGTATACATTAAATCTTTAAAACCTGCTAATGGTTAAGTATCAGAAATATTACTTCAGGATTTTGTGTAATTTTCAGGAAATCTTTAGAAAAAAATAGGATATGGAATTCCCCAGCTTTGATTTAGGTGTGGATCTTCAGGACAGCCCTGGATTTCATAAACCATTTAACTCTCTGATACCAAAACATTTTCCATTGCACAGAAATTTCTTCTGGTTACTCTGCCTTTTTCACCTCAGATCACAGAATTGAAGGCTGATTTTCAATACCAAGAATCTCAGATGAGAGCCAAAATGAACCAAATGGAGAAAACCCACAAAGAAGTCACAGAACAATTGCAGGTGACTCTGATTATTTTATGTGGTAACTCATGTGTATTTAGCTGATTCTTTTTAAGTGATCATCTCTTAGATTGTTTTTCTCAAAGTATTGACAAATCACATTAATCTACATTATAGATATCTTTTATTGTTTCACTCTTGGATGTATTCTGACCTTTTCTCCTCAATAACAGTAAAATTAATAAATGTGTTCTTTGATTTTGGATAAATCAGATGTGATTCCAGATGTCTGAATCAAATTCTGTGTATCCAGTGCATTAAAGCACTCCATTGTTTGTTTGTGTTGCACAAAGCATCCTTTTATAACAGTGAATCCCAGGAGATTGAAGTACACTGATTAACCTCCAGCGAATACTTTTTTCCCTCTGAACATGGCCCTAGAGTTTTCTGTTAGTTTCTACCTCTGGAATTTGTTCATATCTTCCTGACCCTCTACATTGTCCACTTAGCATCTGCATGAAAAACATATCCTATCCTGTTAAAACGTCCTTCTTGCACTGTTGTTTTTTTTTAAAGGCCAAAAACAGAGAGCTCCTGAAGCAAGCAGCTGCCTTGTCCAAGAGCAAGAAGTCTGAGAAGTCAGGAGCTATAACCTCTCCGTGAGAGACCACAAGGAGGCTCCCAGCAACAGCAAATGGATTCCTGGGTTAGGGTTGGCAACGTGGCTGTTCCCTGGGAACTGCAAGCTTTCTTAAGAAATTTCTATTTTATTACAGTTCTCCTTTGTGTGATTGCAGTGGGCTGAATGGAAACACCTGGTTTGTGCTGTGTTATGACTGCATGCTTGAATGTTTGGGGTTTTAAGCTCTCTGGCTTTCTTACTCTCTCATGCTCCCAATTCTCTCTTCTCCCCTGTCCCCCACCTTCTCCCAGTGCTATTAGCTTTGTCTCTCTCTCAGTACTATTTTTTCCTTCTTTTTTGTTTTTTGTGGTGGTCACTGCTCAGTGTTATGTGCAGAATGATTTTTTGGGGTCCATCACTGCATCCTGCCATACCCATGAGCAAATAGTTCAGCATTAATTCCATATCACTGCCACCCTCTGAACTTTGAAAACTGCCACCTTAAGATTTCATACAATGGATGAGGCTTTCTCTCTCCAATAAACCTTTTGCTTCAGGTTATACTCTTGGGTTTTTTTCCAGGTATATTATGTATGAACTTTGTACTATGAAGCCAGAGTTTTATTTATTTTTTAAAAAAAGAAACTTTCTTGATAAAGGAATAATGGTAGCCTAGCTTGTTCTTCTTGTAAAAGTGATGCCTCTTAAAAAAAAAAAGTCCTACTCTAGCTTTTAGTAAAAGAATCAAATCTTCTCTTTCTTGTTACCTTGGAGTCTTAAAAACTGATTATTAAGGTGAAACAATTCAATGCATACGTATGGAGTTAAGTGCCTTTTGGAGAGTTTATTGGAAGAGCATTGAAGAAGATACTTAAGGGAGGTAGTGAAGATTTGAACAGTCTGTCTTTATACATAAGGGCAGAAAGAAAGGTTGTCCAGGTTGTACTGGACACTTTCCTTCCCCACCCCTTTCCTAATTGTTTTATGTGACTGATTTTAAATTCTTACACTGCCACTTCTTTTTTGAAAAAATACCCTTTACTTGCTTACATCAATTGTCATACTGGGCCATTGTCAGAGAACATTTTTTTAAACATGAGCACATTCAAAATAGGATAATATTTGAACTACAGAGCATTTGGGGTGGGGGGGTGGTCAGCACAAGCTGCTCAAGTATGAACTCTGAGTCTCATTTGATGAGATTATATTACTGTACCTTGTCCCCACTCCCCTCACCCACCCTGGACACTCCCTGTTTTTAATTGAAATGTATTGAAAACAGGTGCTTCAAGAAGCAGCTTGGCCTTAGCCAGAATTGTTTGTGTCCTGTCTTCCCTTCTTGACCCAGTAGGCACATGGAGTTACTTTTTTAGGAGAGAGTATAAATTTGCATTTCTAACCATACTCTCAGGTCCTCTATGTGATGTTTGTGAAAGAAATTAGAGCTGTGTAGTGTGCCATGAAACAGTAAAACCAATTACCGTGGAATCATTAATCAGGAAGGTATTCAAGTTAGAGGTAATCATGAGGGCAGATGACATTTGTGCCTCAATCTACCAAAATTGTAGCAGTAAGCTTAACTTGCTAGGCATTTCCTAGGAGTAAATGCTTATAAATTGTGATAGCATTCTCACAAGTGGAGCCATGCACTTAATGGGACAGAGATGTGGAAATGGGTGGCTGGCTTCCTTCTGATAAGAGAAACAATGGACCATGTTGCTTCTGTATCATTTTAGTAGGGGATGTAATTTTCCCTTGTAAGCAAGGGAAAGGTCAGTGCTAAACAGTTTTATAACCTTTTGAATGAGAAGCTTTTAGGTAAAGACAAACTGTCAGATAATATTTTTCAGATGCATATACATTGACTGTGGGGAAAAGAGTGAAAGAAGTTACAGTCATGGTTTTTGTTTTTTTTTAATTTTAAAGACTTGAGAAATTCTGTTACATGAAGTGACAATATAAAAACACATATTTAGTTTTATACTAAATCTTTTTTTAAGATCCTGGCATTTAATATAAAGCAAATCCATGCATTTTCTAACTTTCCACAAGTTCTAAAAAGGGAAGGAAGAAACCTCTGTCTTGAAATTTTGGTTTTTAAAAATCATGACACTGTTTTACCATGATATCGAGTAGCTAACTTTTGGTAACACCTTTTGTTTATTTGTATGTTTGTAATAATGGACATTTTAAAACATAGGAATGTTTCGGTTTGTACAGACTTTGACAAATGTGTGTTAATAAAAATTCATATTGACTCAAGTATAATTGTTGGTGGGATTTTTTTCTCATTTATTTCTTGCTGGTTCACAAATAAACATATCCTGTTATTTTCTTCAACCCAGAATACAGTCAGTTTGTCTTGTTTGTTGACTTAAAAAATTAAAAGTCTAACTGTGCTAATAGGGAGTTTTATGTTCATGCGAGAATAAACTGATTCTTCTGTGGTTTTATTTATTCAATTTAAGTGCTTGCTTTGTTATAAGTGCCGTGCTAGGCAATAAGGATACAGCAGTGAAGAAAACAAAGTTACTGTCATGGGGCTTCCATTTGGTGGAATATTAGACAACACCATTGTTTCTCGATTTTATATTTGTCATTATTCAGAATATAACAGGATGAATTTTAATAAGGTATGGGTAAAAAGTTCAAATGCTATTTCAAGGAGAGGAATGTATTAGTTCGAAAACTTGGTGCTAGTAGGTTTTAAAAATAACAGGTGATTTTTAGACATTGTCACTGTCACATCCCGATCATTCCATAGACTCAATGACAACTTATTTTTCTCTAAATAAATGAAGACATTTTATTTTGTAGGTGCTATGGTCTGAGTTCTCCCCCAAAATAATCTGTTGAAATCCTAACCCCAAAACATGGTAGTATTGGGAGGTGGAGCCTTCATGACATGATTAGGCTCTGCCCTTATGAATGGAATTAGTTCCTTTATAAAGGAGGCTCCAGAGAGAGGCTCCCTTGAACCTTCTACCATGTGAGGACACAGCGAGAAGGCACTGGCCATGAACTAGAAAAAGAGCCCTTGCTATAATGCAACTGTGCTGGCACCTTGATCTTGAACTTTCCAGCCTCTAAAACTAGGAAAAATTTCTGTTGTTTATGAGCCGCCCAGTCTGTGATATTTTGTCATAGCAGCCTGAACAAACTAAAACAGTGTTCTATGTTTATGACCACCTTTATTATGTGAATTACCTTAATTTATACATTTATTCAGCCTTAAAAAACACTTTTTAAGAATAATATAGAGAAACTTCAAGTTCTTCAGGAAGGTCTTCAACCATTTTAAATAACCCTCATAGTAATTTAGTAGACTTTGGTTT